TTATTATTTATTATACCTGAATAAAACTCGGTATTTCCATGGTTAATTTGATTGCTCCCATGTACCTAATTTGAAAATTCTCATTCTACTTTCAATTGATTTGGCTCATAACATAAAGCTTTGGGGGTAGGATGGTAAATTTCTATTACTCTTTGAAATCGAAGCACTACCTCCGGTTCTAATTTAAGGAGATTAAAAAAATAAGTTAAATTAGTTATTTATAAGAAAACTAGGTGTTGTTTTTCCTAAAATACCCTTACTAATCAAGTATATTGGTTAGAATCACTATTGTTAGAAGGATTATCTCAGAAAAAATACTTAAATATGAGAGACAAAGTAGATTAGGATTTCATATTTAAAATCAAAATAAAAGTTAAACAAGATCTTATATTATGAACCGGAGGTAGTATTTATTTTTTTGAAAAAAAGAATAGACCTGCAACTAACAAACCAAACACCGTTGAATCAATTGAAGAAGCCATTTATTTCCGAGGATATTTCCGCCCCGCACAGTCGCACATTGATTTTTTTGGTTGAAATACCTAATTAATGCTTAGTTCTTTTTAGTGATAAAAAAATCATTATTTCTAATTAATACTTTCAATTAAATGATGAGATTAATTGTGAAAAAAAATGAAATAAATATTTGATACACTAATTACAAATAATTAATCCCTTAAAAGAGTCCGAAATTAGGACTAGATGAAATATTGTACTACTGCTCCCTCCTTCCTTAATTATAAGAGACTATTTTGAGACTCGTGGTGTTCCTAAATAAGATAATTTATAAATATTAAAAGTAATTAACATATTTTTCCAAAACACCCCTACTAAGTTATCAAACTTGTCAGTTTTATACTTTCGATTAAATGTCATCATTTTTTTAACCCCAGCTAAATAACATCGTTTATAAAAGGGATTTGAGGGAAAATATCTCAATCACATTTGAAACTTTGTAGTAAGGTTGGCAAAAAGAAAACTTTGCAATAAGACTTAAATCAAGGACACAAGAAAAATTAAAAACTGAAACTTATATAATTCGGGAGAAAAGAGTATAACCCTGAGTAATTAATTTCAAAATATGAGTGAATTTCATATGAGAGTCCCACCTTTCGCTTATCTCTTTACCGTTGAGTCCCATTAATTCCATTTTCATGCCCGCGCGCGCATACATATATATTTTTGGAATTGCACATCTACATTTTTTTTCCTTCATAATTAATGAATTTTCTTGGAAATGTAAGGCAATTATTAACATTTTGATGGGTCTGAAAAAAAATTACTAATGGATTATATCATAGTTATGGACCTCAAAAATCAAAATCATCATTTTTCCAAGGGATTAAACTCATTAAAGTGTTAATAATTCCCTCACAAAGACTTAAATATTAATTATCCCATACAATTTTTGTGATGACTTACTCATACTTGGGCCTTTTGATAATTAGTAAAATAAGCCCATGGGCTTTTTCTCAAAAGCATAGGCTTTTTGGGCTATCTTGCATTTAGTAGAGATGTCCAACCCATTATTTGTTTTCGCTGGATATTTGTCAACTTCCTATCAATATATATATATATATATTATATAACATCTAGTACCCAAAAGAAAAAATATTATATAACAGGAGGAACTGGGTCCGGTTAAAAAAAAAAAAATCTTATAATTTGATGAATCGATATTTAAATTTTTGCTTAAAAAAATACTCATATTTAATATTTGACAGTGTCTTGAATATGATCATTTTTAATAAAAAAAAATGCCTAATAAAGTACATGAAAACTTAAATTTTATTGCAATGCTTCTAATTTTTTGTTGAAATTTTTTATGCAATTCAGATTAATATGTAAAATCTTATTAGTATCTTGAGATAGATTAATATTTATTGCTTGCAAAGGACGTTACAGTGTCTCATTAAAAAAAAAAAAAACAAGTATCTCACTCCACATAATTAAAAGTGCCTACCTAATTTATTGCAGTGGAATAATCTAGAGTTGAGTAAAGTGATGAAGTCATCATCCAGAAAAAAAAAAATTCAAAATTCGTGTAGGAGTTAATTACGCGTTTGACTATGAACATGAATTTAATAGGAAATTATTCTCAAAGTTTATCTAAATCAATAATGGAATTTGACAGAAGAGATTGTGAATAATTAATCTCCCTTCAAGTGAATTAGTTACCTCTCTTTTTCCTTGCGATGCAATTAATAAATGAAAATATCTAAACCAAAGAAAAATATTAAAAATAAAATAAACTCATTGTCAAATGTTTGGCCTGTCTTCTTCAATCTTCATCAATACGTAAATGGTTATGATTTAGGGTCAATTTAGATTTTTAACTTAAGTAGTTCTTTTTTATTATTACAATTTATAATTTTGTTACCAAACCTCTTAATTTAATGTAATCCAAAAAAAAACTATCCGTGTAATTTTGCATCTATTTATAATTCATTTCCCATAATTTTTATTAATAAAACAGGTGAAATGATCTAAATATTGAAACACTCATCATAACATGATTAAAAACATGATCAGTATAATTTTAATAAATAAAATTATACTTTTTCAATTGATTTGTACCCTGTCCCCCTTATTATTACGAGGTCAAAAATAAAAAAACTAAAATGTACATTTAGCCATTTAACTTTATATAATCTTTTAATTTGGTCTCTTAATTTTAAAAAGTATGTATTTAATCCTTTAATCTTAAGATTATTAGGTTTAAATGATGATTTCTTGTAACGATCTTGACTGTTTTGAAAATTAAAATTAATATATTAGTATTTGAGAATATTTTATCAATATTTATTATTTTAATGTCATCATTTTTTATTAATAATTTTAGAGTCGAAAGACTAAAAGTATAATTTTTAAAGTTAAAGAATCAAATTCTAACTATTTTGTCCAAAATAAAAAGTGGACACTTGTTATGAATATTAACGTCTTTCATTTCATATTCCACGCTGGTTTTTTTCTTTTGATAATATTAAGATAAAACAAGCGGCGCCCTATGCCCCTATGACGTTTGCGAACTGGATTGTTCTATCGATCCATAAATAAATTCATGAAGCTTCTCTTCCTTTCTTTTTGATAATATCGACTGATTTTTTGACAATTATACTAAATTCAAATTAATTCAGGTTAAGTTGGACCAAAGCATTTAGATATCAAATTTCTCCAAGCCATAAATATTCAAACCTATATAAATATAGACACATTTTATTCAATGGTTTTTGATAAATATCATATTTTTTAAAAACGTCTATAACAGTTAAATAATCGCCAATATAAGATTTTAAATAATGACTGAGTAAATGACAATTCACAATCATGATTAATTAAGTAAAATAAGCATATTTTTTTAAATGTTCCCTAGTAGTATGGGTTGTATATTTTCAAAGGAACATTTCTAGGATGGATCGATTAGGATTAACATCACTCACTTTTTTCCCCTAAAAAATAACTATGTGGATTATTAATTGCGTACCTTAATGATTGAACATGTCACTATTGTTTGGTGGAGCCTTGTTCATGCAAACAAGTGGGGTTGTATCATGATTTTTTTAAACAATATAAAAATTAAAAGAAACTTGTTTTAAAAAATATTTATTGAAAAGTACTTTATCTATAATTTGATCCAGCTCATGAGGTGTTTACCCCTCCTATAAGCAACCTACTAACAAAATAAACAAAACATTAAACCTTCTAGAATATTTAGCTGCTTTACGCAATATGTTTCCCATATACATATCCATATTCCTACCAAAGTCGTTGAAATATAAACAAGTTCTCTCGCCAAGCCTTTTGTTTTCATTTGAATTTTAATCATAAAACTTAATATAAAATCTTATATTAGAACATTAATTAATCTCATTTACTCAATTTGATCACGGTTGTTATTGGTTATTCTTTTTTTTTTTTTTAATTATTGGGTGATGTATTGGTTATTGATTTGATTAAGCATGAAGAGTTGAAAGAAAAGACTAATCAACATCAGATATCCACATGATAGCTTTTGGAAACAAAGTCAGATCAAATCTAATTCCAATCTCATATTTTCAAAAGTATACTATTTTTTTTTTTTTTCGGTTACAAGAGAGGGGATCGAACCCCTACCCACACACCCCACACACACCCACCCATACCACTAAACCAAACGGTTCGGTGGTAAAAGTATACTAATTTTTGTACTGAGTTAAAAGTTGACTCAACTATAGTTCTAAAAGATAACACCATCCTAGGCCAAGTTCAGTTTTGAGCACGAATTTCAGGCTCATGTTTTCAAAATTTTTCTAAAATAGAGCTGGATCAAAATCTGGTACACATCTTCAAAAAAACAATAATATAATGCTCTTGTTTTTTTTTTTAAAATAAAATCATTGAAATTTCAATACCATGTAAGTAGCCAATTAATTCCATGCAAAAACCCAGGAATTGATTAACTCTAACAGAAATATACAGTTATTCAGAAATATCAAGATGAGACAAACAAGACTATATCCAGGAGAACACTTGTTTGACCTTTTGTTTATTTTCTTTTTTAAATCTCCACCTAAATTAAAATTGAATTGTTCGGATCCGTTCACATTTTATGCTTGAAATGTCAATAACTTGCGATTCTGCCTTATATGGTCCCGACATAGACACAGCTTGGAGTCATCGAGCACTCAATGACCAAGTTTTCAAGTGCCTCATAAAAAATTACAGAAGAAAACTTGTAATCCTATTCATAATCAACCAAAATCAGAATCAAAGATTTGAATATCCGAGTTCTTGAGCTGACAACACACAATATCTTTTTACACGAACCTTATGAGCTCGACATATGAAATATATTCTGTAAACAAATCATTACTTCTTGAGCTGACAACATGCAGGAAATTGTTCAAACCAGCTCACAGAGTAGCGTGCTGGGAACTCCAACTTATTTATCTTTATCCCTTTAACACGTTGGCTTCTTTAACTTCAAAAACTTATCTTTATATAAGCACATATCATTGCTTCAATTTAGCTCACTAGCTAACCTTGAAGGGCACCATGTCTTCCTCAGAGAAGCCTGAATCGGCATATAGCTCAGCTCCGGCTGGCAAGGATTTCTTTACATTCGATGTTATCCTGAGATTTCTGTTGTTTGCATCATCGTTGGTGGCGGTTGTGGTCATAGCCACCGGTGACCAAACAGAGATGGTAGGGCCTAGGGAACGGGAAGCCAACTTCAAGAACTCACCAGCTTTCATGTAAGACTAGAAAGCCTCTGTGCAGAATTACTTCTATATATGTTATATTTGTCTGTTCTTGCCAGGAAATTGTCCCTAGTGCTGTCAATTATATGCAGTATGACGGTATGATTTCAAATATCTCATTATCAACCGAAAAACAGTGATAATGATAATGGAGCCGATTCAGATAATAAGCTTAGCAACCCTTTAGGTTGAAGTTTTTCATCATTTTTACTAACTTTTGATATGTAATTATGCATGGTGAAGTTTAAAGCTTTTATGCTACAAGACACTGCAATTCTTGATTCATGCAGGACAATTTTTCAATTCAAGCTTGATAAAAATTACTTGCAATTTGACATACAATAAAACTTTGTATGCAGATATTTTCTGGTTGCATTCTCTGTTTCTGGCCTCTACAGTATCGTTACATTTCTGGCATCAATTTCTGTCCTCCGGAAACCAGACCTCAAATTGAAGTTCCTCCTCCACTTTCTATTCTGGGATGCGGTAATCAACCCTTGACAAGCTTTCTTTACTTAATGAACCCACTTATTTGTCTTATTAACATCTCATTAATTTCTACTATCAGTTTAACAAATCAAAAAGCCTTGATATCAAAGTATTACATTCATCATAGTATCAAACACAAAGTGACACTTCAAATTGCAGAGAGACATATTCTGCCATGTTCAATTATGTCATGTCTGTATCTATTATCTATCCATATCAGTATCTATGTTCTTAGAATATGACAGTTTTCCTTGGTACTATGCAGCTGATACTGGGGATCATAGCATCAGCAACAGGAACAGCTGGAGGTGTGGCATACGTAGGTTTAAAAGGAAACAGTCATGTGAACTGGGGTAAGATTTGCAATGTCTACGACAAGTTCTGCAGACACATTGCTGGTTCTCTTGCAGTGGCTTTGTTTGGGAGCGTTGTCACTGTCTTGCTTATCTGGCTTTCCGCTTACAGCCTTCATTCCCGTGTCCCCAAGTAGAATCTAAATAATCATTGATCCAGCTTATTACATATGCTCTCAGTTACAGGGTGACATCGTTCACAAAGTTATTGTGCATAACAATTAAGTGTTTCCATGTGTCAAAAACTTCTGTGGCTGTATGTATTGTTGCAGATGTGTTGGTTATTTGTATATGACAGTATCCTTCAGGGAACCCGGTTGTAATTATCATTATCCTCTGTTGTAAATGATTCGGAGTTATTCTTCCCAACAAAATAACTGTGATTTAACTTAACCATGAACAGATAATTACCTGCACCACCGTGATTATATAGCAAAAAGACTACTAAACGTGTCAACAGTATCCACACCTTCGTCCATATTGGAGAAGGTAATACCCACTTCTAAGCTATAAGGTACAGCTAACAATCGGTTTGGCAATCTCAACTTGAAACAGGGTTTAAATATGACATGAAAGAAGATGCTCTAAATTATAAGTGACAGGATACATGTAAAGCATGTACTAATCGTGAGTTCATGAAATTCAATTTCGTGGCAGTTTACTCTCATGGATTACATTAACTTTTGAGAATAAGAGGAATACATGATTACATGGTAATTCATGAAGTAGTATCTGCGCATTACATTTGTACAAAGATTCATACCAATTATCAGAACAAAAGCGAACTTGACTTCAGAACGCTGAATGTAACTTCAGGTTATAATAGCTATATATGGACAAGGGGAATGGTAGTGTTTGTTACCGGAGAATCAATAAAGTACCTCCAGAGACTGGAACTTCCTCTCGACAACCATTGCTTGAAACTTATAAAAAATTATAGCAATGTTTGGTTGAACACAAACATGAAAATAGATACAAAATTGGTTGCTTCGTTAGAGCCATAGAGCTCATCATAATCTTAAAATATTGTCTGCTCACCTAATTCCTGACCAGCCATCCCTTCCCTCAGTACTCTAGCAAAGAACACTTCTAATGTATCATTCCCGTAACTAGGTGTCTTTTCAGCACTATATTCTCCAGTCTCAGGATCTAAAATTAGCATGCTTTCAGCTGCATAATACCTTCCAATTTTCCCAAACTCAGCAGCATCTTCCAATGAAGGGAAGATTTTAACCAGGAAATCGAGAAGCCCAATAGCAAAATCCATTATTCCTATGGGAACCTTCAAGAACTTGGGCTCCTTGCCCAAGAGCTGAAACAGCATCTCCCCTTGTTCCAATGGTGTCAATGCCTTACCTGGCCCTCCAATCGGTAAAATCTTATTGATTTTATCCTGACTCAACACGCAATCCACAATAAAAGAGGCCAAATCTTGTTCACTTATTGGTTTACAAGCACACAGCTTTCCATCTCCAAACATGACATAAGGCTTCCCATCTTTCACCAACTCAACCTGACCACCCAAGCTTTTGAAGAATGCAGTAGGCCTCACTATACTGTAAGTGAACCCATCATTCTCTTCGGCTTCCTTCATCAGCTCAGCCTCAAGTTTCAGCTTTGCTCGCTGAAATTCAAGAAGGGGTTTCTGCACACATATTGCTGAAAGCAATACAAAATGAGATGCCCCAAATTTCTTACCAGCCAGTAGGCTATTTTTTGTTGCCTCATAATCAATCTTCCACGAATCCTTTACCCCGCCAGTTCGACTAGCAAGGCATGATACTACGACATCAACTGAAACCCCTAACTTGTCCAAAGATTTCTCCAAAACTTCCAAGTTTGTCACATCTGAGAAGCACACATTAGCTCCTTTCAATTCAGACAAGGTCGCTTCCATGTCATTTCTGCCCCTAATTCCACTTTTCTCCCTAGCAATGGCTATAACATTAAAGCCTCTGCTTATCAATTCTTTAACCACAAATTTCCCAATGTACCCAGTGGAACCCACTACCAAGACGTTGATATCTTTTGGGGATTTGTTTCTAAATGCAGATGGAGCGGTTTCTACAGCTTCAGATGGAGTTAAAGATGCTAAAAGTTTCAGTCTTTCTCTGCTAACTTTAACTGGTTCAGACAATTCTCGTCGGAAGGAGAAGGAGGATAAAGCATAAGGAACTGATCTTACCCGAAGGAACTTGACGAACTGAGACGATTCAGAAGACAGATTTATCGAATTCCTTTGATGCTTCGGGGAATGAAGGGTGAGTAAATTGGAAGAATAACAGGAGGACATTTTCCAGGACGAATAGGATACCCAGAAAGAGCGGGGAGGTTGATCTTGGTGGAAGTGGCAGAGTCCTCACCGTTAGAACAAGCAAAACAAAAATGATGACGAAGTGAAGTCGGGGGAATCAGAGGAGGATAAGGAGGGAGAGGGACACAGGTTTTCCATGGTCGTTAACTTCGTGTTCGTAATGCGGAAGAGCGCAGAGTCCAAATGGCTGGTGGATAATGAGCTGACGATTACAATTGGATGGAACTCTGTAAAATATCTGATCTGGAAGCCGCGCTTTTTTAGTATTTGATTTTTTTTTTGCCAGCTTAATCCTTTTTTTTTTGGGCCAAAAAACATTACCGTGGAAATTACTTTTTCAAATCTATGCAATGTCCTACGACCCCTCCAAAAAAATAAATCAGTACCCGTAATATTCATTGGAAAATATAAATATTTATCTCATGATTTATAATTTTAGAATACGGCAATACGCACACATATTTCTTGCCTATTTATTCATTTTTTCAAATTCTTATTGATTTTTTTTGGGGGATAAAACGTGAATTTTTCACAAAATAAAAAATTGTCACTAGTTCACAAATCGATTCCATTACCGGTTGGAGGCTGATTGGACGAGTCCTTGACAGGCTCTCTTATTTCCCAAGTTTCTCACTGTTGTGGGCCGAACATGCCACTGATTCTGGGCCTAGCCGATTAAATTAGCCCATTTGATTCTCATTTCCTGGGTTGGAGTCCTCTCCATTTCCATTCTTTTCTTAAAACAAAAGGCGGAAACATAGATGAGAAAGTGTTCAAAGCTCAAACAAGCATTAATGCCCATTTATCACCTTAAATAAAGTAATTTTGAATAAAAATGTAGATTAATAAGAATAAAAAGAATAATAGTAATAAATTCGTGCCCTTAATTTCGAAAAAGCAATATAAATGATAAAACTCATTGAATAACAATGACGTGCATAATAAATATTATGAAAAAAAATTTGGGGGGGGGTCAAGGGACCAAGACGCCAATTTTTATGATGTTTGTGTATTAAAAAAAAATCAGATAAAACGAAACGTATTATTAATTTAATTTAAATAGTAAATGCTATTTACAAACTTTTTGTGCTCGTCTATCTTTGAAAGAAACAGTTTAATTCAGTTATAACATTCAAGTTGACAGTAGTTTGAATGTAAGTTAGATCGACTGAACAATGAACAATTTATAATTTGGCATGACTTCAAAGCCAAATACAGGCATGCTGAGGAAAACTCCAGCTTGGTTGAAGTTCCCAAATCCCACATCGGGAAGACTAGACTCGCACGACCACATCAGAGAGCATATAAAAATATCAGCTAGGCAGCATTAAAACTCATACCTTTCTCGGCCTTTTGGCTAAGATCAAGTGTAGTATCTGTTCTTATCAGTTTAATATCTGATACGTGGGTTATCGACCCACATGATATTAAATTAATTTTTTCAGGGGGTGGGCTCAACTGATAGCTTGCTATCAGGGCCTACGCGTGTCGCCCATGTCTTGCACTCCTGCATGGGCCTGGCGCACCCCACCAAATCAAGTCAAAAGCCCTGCTTCCATCCTGCCATTAAGTCCTAACAAAAGTAACAAGCACAGCAAGGAGGTGAAAAACTAACTCTGGATTACTGGTATAGATATGACATACAGATTGTCGTTGGCCGTTTACAGGTCAATCATTGATGAATGATGAATCCTTTCTGTACAGCATAAATAGAGAGAACATGTCAAAAGAATAAGCACTTGGTACGTGCGTATAAACCATATCATCCATGGAAAGCCATGACTGAGTTTAAACTTGATTTCAACACCAGGGATATGTTTGGAAATATATCATAGGGTCTCCAGAAAATAAGCAAAGCTGGAGTACTTTGGCTCCCACCCTATTTCTTGGCGTGTTTTGGAGTTGTCCAATCTCTTACCTAGGGGGCCGTCAGAGCCTATAAACGCAATATATAAACAAGTGATGTTTTTGAGACTCTGAAGTAAAACAATGCTAACAAAATATAGCAAGAATCTGGATCCTTTCCCATACTGCATATCAAGCCCTAATATAGACAAAGAACTGTACTTACTAGCAAATTTCTCAAACTTCTTTCCAAATTTGCCGCTTTGATTGACCAGATCCATCACTTCTTGCCTGCATAAATGTAGATGGGGTGACTATTATCTACAAGGGTTTTCCCTCTCAGGAAATAGAAAGAAAAAGAAAAAATACGGTGCCATCTGGCAACATTACATAAATCCAAAAAGCAGCAAAAGAAATGAAACAGAAAAGGAAGGGGGGGGGGGATAGTGATTTAAATCAAAAAGTATCTGACCTCGACAAGGGATGATTATCACAACCCAAAAAGATCCTTCCTTTTAACTTCTTCTTCAAGATTGCAATTGAGAGGGAAGCTGCATCCTGGTTAGAAAAGTGTCACCTAATTGGCTTAAATCATCATGATAACCAATAAATATATGATCATAAATATGTTAAATAACGGAATGTAACAGACGAACTATCCATAGAAGGAAGTCTCACAGTATAGAAAATAGCATGAATCACAATTCGCAAGTGACATGAGAGAGTGAAAATAAATAAGCGAGAAACCTGAAAGCTCTTCTGACAAAGCCATAGAACATGCAATTCAACATCTCAACATTGCAAAATAGGTATTATTATTTTTAAAAACACATATATGAGATTACTATCATTTCGATCATAGTTTACAAAATAACAGTATATAACTGGGGATGCACTGACATTCTGACCTCATAATGAATAAAATTCAGGATGTGATCAGGGCGGGCATCAACAACCCCCTTCTCTAGCCAATAAGCGTGTGCACCTTTGTCATCTTTGTTTATAAATGTCAAGGTCTATATGAGATGTGAAAATAATTGCAAAAACTACCTGGATGAGAAAACCCTTATGATGTTTACAAAATTAATAATGAAAAGGATATATAAAGTGCTGAAAGTCTCAGAACACAACCACCAAACTCCAATACCACATTCTCAGCTTTTAGAAGGACATCGGTCCTGGGGCTTCTGCCAATTGGCACAACTGGAGTATCCTGGAAAGAAGTACATCAAATCTGATGAATAGATAAACTCTCACATATTCATGCCCACCAAAAAGTGAGAAACAAGATCTTAGACATTGTTCATAGATCTGAATAATATGGAATACATGCTTCATGTTGTATTTTGCACAAAACGTTTAACCATTTCATAATAGATCTAAAGAAGATCCTACAATGTAAAAATTAGGCATTTAATTATTTTGTTCAGGTTTGAAAAAAGAAGCTTGTACTAAAAGTTACCTCATTGCATTCTCCATTATCATTACAATCATAAGGAGCAGAACTTGATGTAAACAGGAAAGAGCCTTCACCATTCCAACTTAATGCAGCTTGCCTGATAGGTTGCAAATCCAAAACAATATATAAGCACAATACTCAAAAATACACTAGAGAATATCCCACGGCAAATTTCTGGGAGTTTGGACAAATATTTAGGGTCACAATAAATTCATGCCAGAACTACTTTGAAGCAGCATGCATTCAACAGAATTTACGAGCATTTTTCCGATATTGTTATTCCTTGTGAACGAGTTGTACCAAATGTAGAATATTTTCCCGATATTGCTATTCCTTGTGAAAGAGCTGTACCAAATGTAGAATTCCAGTGATCTAATAAGACAGTGCCACCATCACGATGTGAAGATTAACATCCTCGGTACACATCAATAATCAATACGTTTATGTTATACATTAGATGCATAATAGTGATTCATAAGGCTGAACCAAGGAGTGTCAAGACAGCTTCCTTGCAGCAGACTGTACACAGGCAAAATTTAATTTCTACTATTAACTGATATAGACCCGCTCAGCAACTCAACACGACTAGTTACGAGACTACCAATGACTCTGGACGCAAATATAAACATGTCATCAAACACAATTTCTATAAAAAAACAGTCAAAGGATAAACTCTGATGCTCACCTCAGATCACCAGGGTAATCTGTGGACTGGTAAGGTGGAGCACAGAAAATGACATAAGGAAATTTGTGCGTGGCCTCTGTCCACTTCAAAGACGGATTAATACCCAATTTAATCAACTCGTCGTGATGATTAGTGGTCACTGTTTGTCCAAAAATTTGACAACCGGGATGTTCCTGTTTCAAAATAAAATATAATAACAATGCTAGGAAACATGGGTAGCACTCTGCATTTGTGTGTAAATAACATTCCAAGCTCTGCTACTAAATTGATCATAAAATTACTACGTATCACATGGAAATCTGTTCAAGAAGCGCACAAAAAAAGTAGAGACATAGAATTAGAATACAGTACCTCCCGCCATTTCTCAGCCACCAAACGACCAAGAACCCCGGGACCCACAATGAGAAGATCATGTTCTCCGATTGTGCGAGAAGAGGAACGCTCCAATTCTTCACTGGGTTCACCTTCGGAAACCCGAATTTGAGTGGCCATGAGAGAAGAAGATGAAGGCGTTGACTTGAGCCTGACTCCGGAATTGGAAGTGGCGGTGGGGTGGGAAACAGAGAACAATTTCTGACACTTGGAACTGAAGAATCCAACAGGATTGAAGAATAGGAGCTTTGGCAAATGGACAATGGCTGCCATGAATAGGATTGGGCTCTTCAAAGACACGTACCTATTATGGTAATAGAAATACCCAAACTCATCATACGTGATAACTTCCTTGGCACGACCTTCTGCATCACCATTCACACAATCCGCGGGCAAGATGTTCATTTTGTCTCCATTGGGCTTCTTGTGCGTCTCCTTGGGCCAAACTTTATGCCAAGGCTTTTTAATTCCAGGCAGCAAAAACCCTTTTTTTAAAAAAAAAGAAAACTTTATCTTCACTGAGGGTTGAGTCTACCAGAAGAGGTTAGTTTCCCACAACATAGTAAACTAAGATTCGAATCCCAGCTAAGAGAAGTATTTATATTTAGTGCCTGACAGTACCTCGAATAGAATTGTCTTTAATAGGAAGATACTGATACTTTAGCCAAAAAAAAAAACTTTATCTTTGAATAACTAATTTAGTTGGTATGACTAACAAAAGTGAAATCTAGTAAAAAGAGTTACTCTCTTAAAATATGATAAATCAAAATTCAACTCTTTATTAAAAGAGGTGTTTACATTTAGTACCTAATAGTATTTTAAATAAAATTAACTCCAATGAGAAGATATTTATGTTTGAAAAAAATAGTTGGTATGAAATATTAACATTCATTCAGTGTTTTAAAATTTAAATTTTTTCCTCTAATTCAATATGCAAATCTATTATAACTCACTCATAGTAACTAAGATAATTGAAAAAATAAAATTATCTTAAGATTGAATTACTTTTCATTTTCATTATTTAAAAAATCAGTAAATTCTCCCTCCCATCTAGGGGCCTGTGGATTAGTGGAATGACTAGAGGTTCATTAATTTAAAAGGGTCTCAGCAATCCTTCCAACTGTCTTTTTCATCTCACTGGTTGAGTGGTTCGGAACTGGTGCTAACGAAGCATTCTATAGAACCATATTAATAATAATGACATCCAAAAAACGTCCAACGTAATTTCTATTATTATTATTTTTTTGGCAAAACTTCCAAAGCCAAAACAATTTTCATATAATATAATTTATCCTTTTGACTTCATGCCTCCCATATTCCAACAAAAATATCAAGAAAACTGATGAAACATCGATATTTCAGCTTCATGTAGAGTAGGATGCAAAAGTAATAAAATTATTACGTTTGCATATTTTAAATGATAATAAATTTTTAAACGAATTAGGTTGACTTAAGTTTTTTCTGTTTCCACGCTCTTCTGCCTTCCCTTCCGTTCGTTAGGCGGGGTTGGTTGGGCCAAACGTTTATCCTCCTTTTGTCTTAAACTAACTTTCTTCTGCATGACTGATAAATCGATAAACCATTTTCATCTTTGCCTCTCTGTTTTCAATAAACATTTTGGATTCACAGCTTAGTTCTCACTTTTTGACCGCCACTTCCCATAACCAACGAGTGAGTGAGAAGGGTAGATTGGAGAACGGCCGTTGACAATTAGTTTACCAGACCTAGGACAAGCGACACCTGTCATCAAACCCCACTTTGGATTCCTCCATATATCACTCCCCACCTCCTTCCCTTCTTGTTCAACCCTTGGGGCCCCCTCTCCGGCCTTTAATCTATCAGTTCAGTTCCTTGTTTTTGTTTGTTCATCGTCGATTAGGAGACTGTAAATGAGACCGCCGGAGCCTCCTCCTGCTCCTCCTGGGCCGCTTGGGGGGCTCTGCGGCGCACTCTGCTCCGCCGTTTCTTCTTGGTTGGTTTCCTTATCATTTATTTCCATCCCATCACATTCTCTGCCGTCTTCATATTTCTGAGCTTTACGCCATTCAAATCGTTACTTGCTACCCTTAATTCTTACTTTATGCGTTTTGGCAGTTTATATGTTGTCTGTTGCTGCTGGTTGATACAAGATTGTTTCAATCCTCCTGCAACATCACCACCACCTGCACCAGAGCCTGATCCTGCTCCACCACCACCTCCACCTCCAGCTCCGCCGCAGCCGCCACCGCCACCACCTCCCGCTCCAGCTCCGCCACCTCCTTCACCACCACCGCCGGCTCCAGGTCCTCCTCCTCCTCCACCTGCGCCTTTCGATGCTCCGCCGCCGCCGCCAAGTCCTGGTCCATTCGGCCCCCCGGGGCCTCCAGGGGGACCACCAGGCCCACCTGGACCTCCCGGTGGCCCACCAGGACCACCGCGGCCTTATTAACCGAGGAACACTCGCCTAATTTTGTTGAGAAATTCTTGGGCCCATTCAGGGGGTGTGTTGTGAAGGGGTTTGAATTTGTTGTGCGTATATCCTATACATCGAAGACTTGTGTAGGAAGTAAGTGTTCGACGGATGATTTGACTGGATTTGATGGTAAGGGCAGGATCACATGGGTGTGGCAAAACGGCGGCAGGTGTTGAACAGCGTTTTGAGAATACACATTGCATTGCTACTGTATTTTTAATAATATATATATGCTGTTAATCAGCATTGGAACCAGTTGACAACTTGACATGGTGGTGGTGCCTTGAGAAGGCCTCTGATTTAAGTTATATGTATAAGATTATTAATCCGATTACTTCACTGCTTCATTAAACTGACGTTAATTATATTACTGTATTATTATTATTATCATTTTAATTCTAAGTACACCATCTCAATTCACTTTGTTTTCAAAATATATTTTTTTAAAAATACTCTTATTAATTATGTATTATAATAGGAGAATTCCGAGTAAGGAGCAGTTACAACTTAAAATGCACATGGCTATAAAAGGTTTTACAAAGAAACTAACATATTTATTATAAATAACTATTTTAACTAATTTTTTTAATATCTTCAAATTCATTATTTAATTTTTTATATTTGTTACTATAAAGGCTTGTATGAACTTTTTGATTCGTTGAGAGTATATATATAATTTTATAAAAATTTACATTAGAATTAATTATGTGACTTTTTCAAATTTTGTACAATGCCACCTCTGATCTTTAATATAAAAGTTAGTTCATTAATTTGAATAAATGTAGAAAAAACTAGTTAAGTTAGTTATTTGTCATAAATAGGTGTTGTTCTTCCTAAAATATCATTACTAATCAAATGTACTGACTAGAACTAACATTATTATAAGGACTATCTCAAAAAATAAATATAAAAGATAAAGTAAATTAGGATTTTATATTTAGAATTAAAATAAAAATTAAACTAATTTTATATTAAAAAACAGGAAGAGTATTATGCAAGTAGGGTTTACATACTTCAAATTCAAAATAAAACTTACCAGGAAGCCAAGTCAAATACGTGGCTCATCATCAAGACTTTATTTTACGTCACGTTTGCTTCATCACATGGTGGGATCTATCCGTGAAAGTTTAAAAATACCTATAAACATATTTTAGATAAATGGAGGCAAAAAAAAACTTTTTTTTAATGAAAACATCGTGGTATCCACCGGCGGATCCAGTGACTAATCTCTTAACTAGCTTGTAGGCACCTCAAAGGGTGGGACAGTTAATCTGGGGTTTTAAAGCTTTTCTATGTCCAAGACGAGGATCGAACTCTCGACATTTGGTTAAGGGAGGATGAGACAAAAGTTTTCACATATTTATTTTATATTTTATAAATTATTATTAAAAAATTACTTATAAACTATATGAAACAACCTTCCTAAATAAATCGATAAACTTAACTTTTTCATAGTAACTTTAAAAAATAATTTTTTATAACCAAATCATACTAAATACAAACTCAAATTATATCACAATCATTTACACTAACTAATTATATAACATTGTTATCAGTGATAGAAAAGAGCAGCATCCAGTCATACATCCTATCACGAATAAAAGAACTTTTTCTAGTTCATTCAAATACAAACTATGTAAAAAAAGATCAATCTTATCTAATATGGCTATAAAACAACATATAATATAACTCATAAATCAAAACATGAAGAATTAAATCTTAACTCGTACTTTATAATAAATTCATAAACAAATCACATGTGATCCTAGGTTTCTGACCAACTACTAGCACATATACCATAATAGTACAACTCAAAGGACATAGGATATAAGACATAATAATGTATGAATCAATTAAAAGCAATTTATTCTAAGGTGACAATATACAGAAAACAACATAACTCATAAAGCGAGAAGACATTACAAGTCATTAATGTAGCTTTACTCCTTCTGAGCCTTCCCTGACGTCCCTCCTCTAAAGGTTTCATTTGAAAAATGTTAAATAATAAGGATGAGACTATTACTAGGAAAACGGGCTGGCCCGGCCCTACAGGGCCAGCCCGTCACGGGCTCGGGCTTAAACGGGCCAGCCCGTTTAAGCCCGAGTTCAAAAAATGAAGCATTTTTCCAAGCCGGCCCGTGAGATAACGGGCTCAGGCCAGCCCGCGGGCTTTTGGCCCGTTTAACTAAAATGTATTTTTATTATTTTTTGTCTATTTTATCAAAATAATAAAATGAAACAATAAAATTACTAATAAAAAATATAAATATAAATATAAATAAGTCACAAACATAAACATCATTATGTCAAAACATCTATCACAGTGTAATAGAGTCTATTGAATAAACAAACTAAATAGAGGACAGACATAAACAACTAAATAAACACTAAGTTCAGTAAATAATTACAATATGAATGGTCTTGTTTAATTATAAATAATTAACAAAAAAGTTTAACTAACAAACATAGTATATATAAAAAATAATTGTTTGTCCTACTGACAAAAAAGAAAAGAGTTCATTATCCTAGTTCTAAATTTGTTTCTAACTATAAAATGATATAGATCTTTATTTTAATTCAAAAGATTCTTTAACCAATTCTATTTCAAGTATAAAAAATATGAAAGAATGATAAATAAAGATTGTAAAATAACACATACACTATTTGAATAGGTTTTGACAACTTATAAATAATAACACATTTTTGTTAATATACTTAGAATTATGGTGATTTATTTTTTGTGAATGCCATTTGTGTGAGTAGTGGGGGTAAGTAAAACTAAGAGTATATTATGTGTAAAATATTAGGGTTTTTCTTTTTAAGTTAAGAAAAAAATATAAAAATTTTTTAAAAAAATATTGGCGGGCTTAAACGGGCCGGCCCGTTTATTTTTCGGCCCTACAGGGCTGGCCCTTTTAAGCCCGACTTCCCTTTCAAGGCTCCAAAATACAAGCCCGGCCCGCGACTTAAACGGGCTTAAACGGACCGGCCCGACGGGCTCGGCCCGTTTTCCCGGCTCTAGATGAGACAACGTCTCAATAACTAAATTTCTACCTATCACACACATTAGCATGGGCTAGCAAGGTGTCAGGTGGGATACACAGAATTAATAACAGTCAATAGACATTTATTTAACGATTAAACTCACAATAACCATATAAGTCAAATATTTTTACAAATCTCATGCAACTGATAAATTTCAAAAAGGATAGCATACTTTTCATTTTATTCAAAAGATATAAATATCAAATGAAGATACCATGTCATATGCAATCCATGAACCCAAATCCATCCTTATATCCTCCTTATTTCTGCCGACTGGACCCATGGGCTAAGTTCTTTCCATTTGACTAGTTATTTTGACAAGCTCACCACACGAGTGATATGGACCGGCCAAAGACCACAGAGCATTCGGTGGACTATGGGTCCCTCCTCGAAAAACTAGTTGGACAACAATAGTGGCCAACCATAGAGCTCCGTATGGAGGCCAATACCATGCGGTAAGTATATAAATCTCAATAACTCCAATTATCTCCTTCTCCCACCCAAACTAGATGCATAGGGTTCAAAATAACACGTTTATATACATAATGAACCGAATTCTAGAATAACACCTCATATAGCCATTAATTTCTAACAATACAAACGATTTCAAAATAATATCCCACAAGATAGTTCATACAAAACATAATATATGTATATAAAACTTGGTTATAAAATCACTCACCAACCTCATACCAATGCATATAACAAATAGAAATTTAGTTATCTGGTCTCCTAAGTAATAATCAAGTACAAACGAGGCTCATACTTGAAAATGTCATAATAGGATTTATATCTACAATTGAAATTAAAAAATTATTTTTACAGTATTAGAATAGACTACTTACAAATTTTTAACCCCTAACACTCCCTCTAATACCTTCAACTATTACTTGAAAAACTTTTTTTCCCTAAGATTTGGGGTAAGAATGTATATATAATGATTTATATTTAATTCCTAGGTTCCTTTTACTTTCGTTATCTTTAATCATTAAAGTATATCTTTCGAATCATTAAATTCATAACCTAGATAGAGAACCCCAATTTATAACTTATGTTCTATTTTTGAATGATTTAGACAAATAGATTTAATACGAGCTAGGTCATTCTCACTACAGAAGTTAAGTCCTTAATTTGATCGTTGAATTTTATTTCCTATCTATCATGATACTATCCTCCAAATTGTGGTTCAATCTAACGGTAAATGAACTTAAAAAATGCTAATTTACTAATCAAAACTCTATTTGCTAAATCTAAAAATTAGGTTGAAAGCGTACATAATAACTTGTAACTCTGAGATTGAAATGATGATCCAACCGTTGAAACTAATGAGTATGAAATCTAGGACCAGATGACCAAATTGCAACCTGATCCAACGGTTCACAAACTCGTAAATAGCACTTTATTGAGACTATCTCAGTTTTATGTGAAAATTATTTAATTCATCTTTAACTTTCCCCTACTATCACATATATATAGGCTCCTAGAGCTCCCTCTTCCCATTATTTAGTCGATGTGAGACTTTTTAACATTACTATTTTATTCATTTTCTCACACACACACAGACAAACATACACACACACACACATAAAATCATAATTATTTTAACTCCATGTATATATATTTAACCTCTACCTATTCTATAAAAGTTTGTTTACATACTAGAGATATAAAAATTAGGATGTTACACTATAGGTCTTTCATATAGTGACATGCGGAAAAATGTGAAGTTGAGAAGTGAGAACATATCAAATCATTTGTCAAAAATCAAGGAACAAAAACGTGACTGAACTAGCCGATTTAATTAGAAAACTGGTGAATCACCTAGTGGTCTGGATTAGTTTAAATGCTAGAATGGCCATAAATTTAATTGTTATCAACTTGGTTAAACCGGAATGAATTGGTAATAAATCAGTTTGGTTGATTCTATTGCTACTAGTCCTTTTTTTTTAATTCAACTCCTAGTATTTTAGTCATTATAGATTTAAATGAATTTTAATGATAAGTTTGGTATTAATAATTATTAATTTTATTTATTGAGAAATCGTCAAGATCAAAATTCTCAATGTTGTTAAATCAAATTGTATTTTG